CTTTGGCGAAACACACCCCTTTAGTCGACTACTCGATCTTTGCTTCTTATACCTGGCCTTCTAGAAATTTTAACCACCGCCTGACACTCCCCACATGTCCTTCCTTATCCTTTACTGCTCAGTTGTTGCCTTAATTAGAATCTATCTTCGTGGCACTTGAACCCACAATTGCTGCTAACTCTAAACCCTTCTGAAGGTCATGTTTCTCGAACCGTTTACATTAGAAACATTGATTGAATCCTAAACCACCGCACCCTGCGATATCTGACAGCCGCATCTCCAATACTATTTCACGATATCTTTCCCCAAAGGCGAATTGTAGAAGATCGTAACACTGCGAACTGAGTACTTTCAATTAGGACACGACACCTCATCATAGAAGAAAACTCCACCACGCTCGCAAATACCAAGTCTCGTTACTCCACCAGCCCACATCTGACCATTCTTAGTCCGTTTACCTTTCCCCTGCCGGGAATAAAATACTGAATCTCTAGATCATGCACTGAGTAAACCTTCCTTCAAATTATTCACTGCCCCAACACGTAAGCAAACATCCTACCATCATATCAACACTGCGGAACAATCGTTCATAGCATCATGGCAACTTGTGCCTAGCCTCAGAGCTCTCAGAAGTACCACTACTGAGCTGAAACAACAGAATATCCTTCCACAAGGCGACGATAATAGCTCAGACAACTGTGTAGGGAGAAACACCCCGCACTGCGTCAGTAGTACCATTACAATTCTTCAATCTCGATTTACAACAAGTGGTTCGCGTCGCGTAAGATTGAATAGGAAGGAATTAAAGGCATAGCCTCTAGGGATCAAATCGCATGATGAGGAATCAAGAAGGGAAGTACTCCTAACAGTCCTGCAGCCTCCTGAGGATAAGTACAGACGTCTCCGTACCGATCCGCGAGACTCTACTAGACTTGCTCATGACTCGTGAGACCTACGGGAACCTAGTGCTCTGATACCATGTTGTCACGATCCAAAATTCACTAAGGATCGTGATGGCGCCGGACACCACCGTCAGGCAAGCCAACCAAATTAAGTAATTAAATTCTCGTTTTAATACTCTTGAAATCTATGATTTCCTCCAAATTTATAAATAAAAAGATAATCGCTTCAATTCAAATTAAATGATAAGCAATTAATACAAATACCTCATAACCATCCCAAAACCCGGTGTCACAAGTACATGAGCATTTTCTAAGAATTTGAATAAAGTACAACAGCTGTCCGGAACACAAATGGACAGAAAGTAAATACAATTTTTAGAGAGACTATACTAGATGCGGGTCGCCTCGAGGAAATACAGCTCACCTAGTCTCCGAGTCGCCCATGCTGCTACGCCTAATGGGCCAATAGAAATACATGTACCTGTGCAACAAAATGCACAGCAAGTGTAGCATGAGTACAAAAACAACGTGTACTCAGTAAGTATCCCGCCTAATCTCGAAGAAGTAGAGACGAGATGGCAACTTCGACACTTACTAATGGTCAAATAATAATATTATTAAAGCGATGACTCACGAATTTATTAAGGACAGCAGTAGATTCAAATGAATTACTAAACAGGTAAAAGTTCCTTTTTATTAAAAGTCTCCGAATTCATAATCCATTAATTAACAATTATCTCAAGTCGGGGAGAGCAGATGGCAATATCAATAAATCTCAAGACAAGCAATTCAAACATGCGCAACTCATGCCGAGGTCGTACAGCCCGATCCAACATAAATGTACAATGTGCACTGCCGAGGGTCGAGCGGCCCGAACCATAGATGCATCTATTACCCCGCTCGCGAATCATACATGCGACGCGGTCAAATTTAAATAAACAATCACCCTGCTCGCGTACCATACATGCGACGCAGGTACACATAGAAATACATGCTCAAACAGCAAATTAAGAATTTTACGGGGAACATTTATCCCATTAGAAGCCAATTCTCTTTTAATGATTTAAGAAAATAAAGTTTAATCCTCTTAGAAATTCATTTACCAATTCGATAGGGTTTAAGAAATTCAACTGTCAATAAGATTGCAATTATTCCAAGTATAGCATGCTTTTGGGTTCTAGACTACCCGGACTTATACATATTAGTAGCTACGCACGGACTCTCGTCACCTCGTGTGTATGTAGCCCCCACAAATAGGAGTACATAATCAATTATTTCGCCTATGGGGACAATTCCCTCTTACAAGGTTAGAAAGGAGACTCACCTTGCTCCGAAGATCCATAACCGGCATTCCACGCCCTTCTGAAGGCTCAAATTGATGCCCAACGCTCCAAAACTAGCCAATAATTATGCAAATCCATTAATATATGCTCAATTACTCATTACAATCCAATATATAACAATTCTTAACCCCGATCGAGAAGTTGACAAAAACGCTCTCGGGCCCACGTGCCCGGATTCCGGAATTTTTCGAAGATAGAGTCTACCCATGAACTCACGAACTCAAATATATATGATTTTCTCTTAATTCCATACCCAAAATCGTGGTCAAATTCCAAGATTATCAATTTCTAGGTCTTTCCACCAAAACTCCAAATTTCTACCAATTTACATGCTAAAATCCATACATAATTAATGTATTTAACTCAAGATAGGTAGGATTAACTTACCTCCAAGTGCTAGGTGGAAGCCCCTCTCAAAAAGCTCCAAAATCGCCCCAATTAAGAGAAAAATGGGTGAAATGAACTCAACCCTGCTTTTTAAAACATTCTGCCCAGCGACTTCTGCACCTGCGGACTCTTCGCCGCTTCTGCGCTTGCGCAGATGCAGCCAATACACCGCATCTGCGGTCCTTCCCTTGGCTGCCCCAGCCCGCTTCTGCGCCGCACTGACCGCATATGCGATCACGCAGGTGCGGTAATTCCTTCGCACCTACAGCCTCTGCTCCCTTCATATCTAACCGCTTGTGCGGTTCAATTCCTTGCTTCTACGAGGCCGCTTCTGCGGTGAACCCTCCGCAGAAGCGGTTATACCAGCAACCAGACCCTTTCAGCTCATCCTTCAAGCTCCAATTCGATCCGTTAACCACCCGGAATCCACCCGAGGCCCCTGGGACCCCAACCAATCATACCAACCAGTCCCAAAACATGTTAAGGACTTGCTCGAGGCCTCAAATCATATCAAACAACGCTTAAACCACGAATCAACCTCCAATCCAAACTTTATGAACTTTATAATTTCAAACTTCTACTTTCGATGTTTAAACCTATAAAATCACGTCCAATTGACTTTAAATGTTTGCGCACAAGTCATATTCGACATTACGGACCTACTCCAACTTTTGAAATCGGATTCCGACCCCGATATCAAAAAGTCCACCTTCGGTCAAACCTCTCAAAAACCTTCAAATTTCTATCCTTAGCCAAATGGCTCCAAAATGCTCCACGGACATCCGTATTCACTTCCGATCGCGCTCCCAATTCCAAAAACACCATACGGAGCTACTCCCAGACTCGGAATCCCAAACGGATATCGATAACACTGAAATGCACTTCAACCCAAACTTATGAAATTTCTTCCAAAATGCTAACTTCCACAATAGGCGCCAAAATGCTCCCGGGTCACCTAAAACCCGATCCGGGCATACGCCCAAGTCCGAAATCATCATATGAACCTGCTAGAACCTTCAGATCCCGATTCCGAGGTCGTTTACTCTGAAATCCTATCCTAGTCAGGTTTCTCAACTTAAAGCTTCCGAAATGAGAATTTCCTCTCCAAGTCAACTCTGAACTTCCCGAAATTTAATTCCGACCACACATACAAGTCATAATGCCTGAACTGCAGCTGCTCATGGTCTCGAACTGCTGAACGGCGCGCTAGGGCTCAAAACAACCGGTCGGGTCATTACAGTTGGCAGGTTAGAAGAGTATTGCCTTCAAGGATCTATGTATGTTCCCCGATGTTCGTTTGCCATTTGGTTTCAAGACTCCAAAATTCTAAAAGTATGATGGACATGGAGACCCCATAGCCCATTTGAAAAGGTATTGCAATCGGCTAAGATGTGCGGGAGGAAATGAAGAATTACTAATGGCTTATTTTGGGGAAAGTCTTACGGGGGTAGCCTCTGAATGGTTTATTGATCAAGACACCTCTCATTGGCATGTCTGGGATGACATAGCTCGGGCCTTTGTAAATAATTCCAACACAACATCGACATCGCCCCAGACCTTAATTCCCTTTCAAACCTGAAGAAGAAACCAACTGAAAGTTTTAGGGAATATGCCTTTAAATGGAGAGAGCAAGCGGCTAGAGTTAAGCCACCTATGGATGGCCATGAGATAATCACTGTCTTCCTTCAGACGCAAGTGCCAGATTACATTCAAAACATGATGTCCGCAGTTGGCAAATCCTTCTCGGAAGCAATCAAAATAGGAGAAATGGTAGAATGGCCTTAAAACAGGTAGAATTATATGTCAAGCAACTCTCAAAGCTGCAACTCAGGCTATCCAAATTGAATCTAGCAATTTTAGTGACACGAATGAGATGGATAAAGAAATCATGATGACAGCAGGGTCGAGAAGAGGTCCTAGGAGAACATCTCGAAGGTATGACCAGCCTCCTCTATTTTTCGATGATTCCCCTTAGCACTACTATCCACCTCAGAACCCACAATCACTGCAACAAATATGGGATACGGCGACATTTTATAAATGTCGCTGTAAGTCACTTAAATGCACAAACTTGTTTACCGAAATTTATTTTACATTTATATTAAATGTAGGAAATTTCAATTTCGTTAATTTTGCGACATTTAAATTAGTGTCAGCAACTAACGACATTTATTTACTACATTTTAAGATGTCGGTAATTTTAGCTCTTAACCTATTTTGTTTGTGACATATATAAAAATGTCACCAAATTATTTATAATTTTCAGATGCGATTTGAATATTAATATCACTATCAATATTTGGTTAACATTAGAATAAAGATATTTGTCACGTGTCAAACTATTACTTTTTTGCTCTTTTATGTAGTGTAGAAAGCAATAAATAAATTTCTATTCATTTCAAAACTTTCCAAGAGGCATACAAACACACGCCAGTAACACCATAGACAATTAAAATAAAAAAACGATTACATCAAACATGGAACTACAATTACAAAATCATAAATTTTTCCTAAAAAACTTCAACACCAATAATTCAAAGTTTCAAGCAGCCATGTGCTTTTCTGATAAAGTGTTCCATGCTTTCTCTAAGTCAAGATCCTTCAGAGTAGTAATTGATCTCACAACCTTCAAAAAACTGATGTATCCAAGATCTGAAATCAAAAAAAAAAAATTATCACTAAACAAATTAAGGCAAAATAACATTAATGTCAGTTTACATGATAAGAAGTCACAGTTACCATGCTTATAAACTGTTTTGCAACAAATTCACTTATAGAGAGAAGATTCAAATAAACAATAAAAGAGATACAAAAAATTCAAGGACTTTAGTTATCACAATAGCACAAGTCCCATTTCACTCGCAAAGAAAAAGATAAACTTACAGAGAACGAGTTAGATTAGATGAATATGATCGGAAATTGCGAGAGTGACAACGGCTAGTGGTTGAAATTTCAGATATGGCTAGCAGCTTTTCTAGGTTTGAAACGTTTCAAAGAATAAAAATAAATCACAAATCTAGGGTTAAGGACAAACAGTCAAAAGCAGCCACGAATCAAAATATAGAAGATTGAGATTGAAATACCTTACAGGTGAATTGGGATAAGAATGAGTGGAAGATGCAGAGATGAAAGTTTCATAGTGCCTCGGCGGCTTGAAGAGTCATAAACGAAATAGGGTTCAATATTTTTAAACTTAGATTAATTTCTCACATTGGGAAAAGAAATTACTTTTTGGCATTTATGATAAATGTCACTTGTTAATGTCGTTTTACTCCTATAATATGACATTTAAATTAAATGTTAGAATATTTTTGTCATTTTTCATCAAATGTCGGTATTTAATTAGTATTTTATGAAAAAACATCAAGAAATTAACTTTTTCCCGACCTTTATTACGACTGTCATTAATTAAATATCGTTGTATCTCATATTTCTTGTAGTGAATACTCTGTTGCTCCACCTCAGTATTTGTCCAGCCACCAAGACACCCAGAAGGCGAGCACCAGCATCGCAAAATCTCCACCAGCCTCCGTAAAATCTTCAAGTGCCCTATAACCCACATCCAAACCAAGGGTATAGAGGGGAACAAAGGTTGAAAGATAATTTTACACCAATAGGAGAGTCCTATGCAAGCTTGTTTGAGAAATTAAAGCATTATGACATGATTGCACCTATTCCTCCAAATCATGCGGACCCACCTGGAAGAATCTTTGACCCATCTAAAGGGTGCGAATATCATTCCAATGCCCAGGGGCACAATGTTAAAAGTTGTCGGGATTTGAAAAGAGAAATAGAAAGGATGATCCAGGAAAAACTGATTGTGATCCAAGATAGTGACACCCAGAATATCACGTAGAATCCTTTACCTGCACATGATAATGCACACTTTGTGGGAATGATGCCTGGTGACATGGAGTATGAGAATCCTCTCGGAAACTTGCCAACTAAAACTGGAGAAGGCCATGGTGATTCTGATGAGCAAATTTGTGGCTAAATGTCAAGCTTAGCAATTAAAAAGCCATTCCCTTCTCACTAGGAAGGAATCTTGGTAGCTTGTTTTGATATTTTTTCTATTATCTGGGTTATTTCACGGTTGTGATCCAGATTTTATTTGTTTTGTTGAGTCAAAAACTTCTCTCTCTATTCTGTTTGTGTGAGTCTTGTCTGTCTATTTTGTTGCTATTCTCATTAGTCGGGTTATTTTAGGATTGTAACTCGAAATTTAGGTTGTTTATCTTGTTGTTTACTCAATAAAATACAGTTTGTCCTTTTGTGTCATTCCATGCTTAGTTCTTTTCCCGCTAGTTTTAGTGATATGACATGCAAGCGGAATTTTTGGCCAGATCTTAGAAAATTGATTTAAGCTTGAATTGGATAACTGAGAACAAGACATTTTTGAGGATGAATAAAGAGTTGAAATTCTTGGGAACTAAGGTCGAATAAAATTCACCTTCAAATCATTGTGAGAATCGGGCTTGAGGATGTTTAATCAATTGAAGTTTGTTGAAAAGTTTGACATTAAGGGATGGAAAGTGTCTTGTGACCACGACCCACCAAGAAGACAGACATGTTCCTCAATGCTGTGATCACGAAAAGATACTATGTTTGGCGTTCTCGAGGCTGGGAGGCCCTTTTTCTGCTACCCAAATACTTTATTCCCTTTTGTTATCCCTTTTGAGCCTGTGTTATTTTCTTTGACCCCCCCCCCGTCCCCCGTCCCCTTTTGGAATCAAGTTTAGAGTCAAAAGTCCAAAAAGAAAATGAAAAAAAAATGAAAAGAAAAGTTCATGCTCCAAGAGTACAAACTGGGGCAACTCTTAGAAAGTTAAAAAAAATAAAAAGAAGAAGAAAAGAACAGTCAAAGGTCCATGCCCCCAGAAAATAAAAGCTGGGGCAACTTGTTTTGAAAAAAAAAAAAAAGAAAAAAAAGACAAAGGAACATAGAAAAAAAGGTTAGGTCAGATGTTTGAACTACATTTAACTTGATTCCTTTAGAAAAGGATACGTATGCAGCCTTACACGGTTCGGTCCAACCAAATAAGAATCCAGAAGGAAAAGAAAAAGAAAAAAAAAGTGAAAAATCCAACAAAATCCAGTATCTAAAACTGGGGCATGAGTTTGTTTTAGTTTTTGAAAGAGTCGATTCCAAGAGTTGTAAGTGTACAACCCATCATATTGAGTCTACTTTGAGCCTTCATGCCATCCTTTCTTTCCAACCCTATCCAAAAAACATTCCAAATAAAGACCTCCCGATGTGCCTTCAAGAATGCCAAGAGAAGCATGCAATGAGCAACGACTGTCACGCGACATAGAACACTGTCAGGTTGCTCACACAAGAAGGCAAAAGAAAAAGAAAAAAAAAATGAGAGAGTCTTACTAGTGAAAACCTTCACGGGCACTGTAAGGCGACGGTAAGTAGAGATAAATAAATGAGAGAGATGTGTTGGTGAAAACTCCTCGGGGAACCACTAGTCGAAAGTGAGTCGTGAGGCAGATGCAAAGAATTGACACGCACAAACCCGACTTCAAAGGTCATAAGAATGATAAAAGGGATTGAATTGGTTTGATAGATCGGCCATTAAGTCCGAAATGCATGTCATGATCATTAAGGCTAGTTAGCGCAAAATTAAAAATAAAAAAAAAATAAAACTTTCCTTCTACCTTTCCCGATAGGGGCATTTCTTGTTAATATTGTTTCTTTGCATCATTGTGTCCTTCACTCTGAGTCCGTCCTTGTCAAAACAAGCAAGAAAAGATTTCAAAATCTGCTACTAGCTTTTTAGTTGCACAAAGTAAATCTGGCCAGCATGCTCAGTGGTTACAGTCAACATGCCTTTGAGAATTCATGCAAAGGCTTTCTCCCCAAAAGACTCTTGTCAGCCTATTCGGTTAAAGCAAGCTAAGATAACCTCAAGGTTAATCAGGGATTCTCTATAGTACCGAACAATGACTATGAAGTGTGCACATCATGCAAAAGGCTCTTACCAGTTATGATTCTCTCTGACAGACAAATTGCTCCAAAAGCAAAGCCATTCAAGATATCTGAAAAGGTTATCCAAGAAAAGAAATCTCTTTTTTGAGGTAAGGTTGACTGAGCCACAAATACAAATAGTACTAGGTGTGAAACAATCAAGGTTGATGCAGAGCAAAAAGTCTCTTGAAACTGACTCAAGCTGATTGAGCAAAAGCAAAGCTGCCAAAGACTTTAGGCCACAAACCGAGGCACCACTTTTGAAACTAACAAAATTTTCTTTATTTGAAATAGGAACAAAGCGTGCAAGGAAGTTGGTTCAAAAAAAAAGAAGAGGAGAAGAGCCGACAAAGGGAAATTTCTCAAATCTTTACCTTTATCTGCCTTGCTGGTGTCATAAAATTATGCCATTGCTCTTAAAATTTTTCCTCCTAGGACAAAAAGTCCTAGTCTGATGAATTTTCTCCTAAACTAAATGTCTTAGTCTGATGAATCTTTCTCCTAAGATAAGAAAACCTAGTCTAATGAATTTCTCCTAGGATAAACGTCTTAGTCTGATGAATCTTTCTCCTAAGAGAACAAAAAAGACCTAGTCTGATGAATCTTTCTCCTAGGATCGAAATCTTAGTCTGATGAATCTTTCTCCCAAGATAGAAGACCTAGTCTGATGGACTTTCTCCTAGGATACAAAGTCTTATTCTGATGAATCTTTCTCCTAAGATAACAAAAAAAGAAAAGAAAAAAAGAGACCTAGTCTAATGAACTTTCTCCTAGGATCAAAATCTTAGTCTGATAGATCATTCTCCTAAGATAGAATACCTAGTCTGATGAACTTTCTCCTAGGATAGAAATCTTAGTCTGATGAATCTTTCTCCTAAGATACCAAAAAAAAAAGAAGAAAAGAGACCTAGTCTGATGAACTTTCTCCTAGGATCAAAATCTTAGTCTGATGAATCTTTCTCCCAATATTAAAACCTAGTCTGATGAATTTTCTCCTAGGATAATAATTTTTTTTTTTGAAAAAAGGAAGTCTGGATTTGAAAAAAAAGGGTTAATTTTTAGTTTTCTTAAGTTATTAATCTTTAGTTTTCTTGAAATCAGGGGTCCCGCCTAGAGAATAGGGTCAGTTTTTACTTTAGTCAAGCTTAGTTTATAGTTTTTCGCAAGCTCAATCTTAAATCTAGGAGACACACTTCCTAGTTTGGGTCCTTTAGGTTTTTTTTAGCAGACGCATTTGCAAGTCGAAATTTTCTTGGTTTTACTCACAGGAGACACACATCCTAGTCGAGTCTTCAATTTTACTCTCATCATTGCATCATTTATCAATAGCATATGTGATTTATAGTTCTGCTAATAACTCACAAATCTTCCTAGTGCAAATTGGGGCAGAAAAGTTCCTTTGTTTTGTCTGTTTTGCTGTAGTATCAGGCACCCATCTGGAGAATGAGGGTATTTATTTCAAGAGTTTCAAGTTTTAAGTCGGTAGCAAGCGCCCACCTGGAGAACGAGGGAACTCATTTCAGAATTCATTTGAAGTTTCAAGTCAGTCGCAGGCGCCCACCTGGAGAATGAGGGAATTCATTTCAAGTTCCAGTCAGAGATAGCAGGATCCCTCCTGAGGAATAGGGGCAACCTCCAGTCCTGTTGTCAATTCAAGTTAGAAGTAGCAGAAGCTCGCCTCAAGAATGCGGGTCGACAAGGGTTCGAGATAACCAAAAAGAAGTCTCAATCAAGAATAAAAGAAAGGAAAAAAAGTGAATCCAAAGTGCAGAAGCGGAGAAAAGATGTGGACTGCTCAAGACATAATTGAAGTCACAAGCTCTGTCTGTCCCGTCTTGATCTAAAAAAGCTGAAGATGATTGAACCAACACTTGCAGCTAACAAGCATCAAGATTCAGATCAGAGTCTGCGTGAAGAACCAGCCAAGACTCAAGATCAAGCTTCAGAAGACTCATAGATAGGAATCTTGTAGCTCGTAGCTAATAGGCTTAGTTAGTCTTTTTCATTTTTGAGTTTGGTGTAATAGGGAGCTCGGCAAGCAACAACAGCGAAATTACAGCTTCTCGGTAGTCCCAGCTACCAAAACTTCCAGAACTACACAGACCTGATTCCTTTATAGCCAAGGATATGTAGGCAACCTACGAAACAAGGTTCGGTCAAACATTTTCAAAATACTTCTCATGGAGTATCAAACGGGAAAAATTATTCATGATTGCTCACGTTATCTTTGCCCGAAAACTCTTCATGTTTGCGAGCAAA